TATGATCTTTCAATATACAAAATTTTTATTTGAATAAGTTTTTACATCTTTCACTTAATGAATATTACATTTGCAGGGCACCATGTACTGGGAAAATACATTGTTTCTGATCCTCCCAAGCACATAGTTCAGCAGGACAAAGATAGAGCCTATGAAGAGGCCCCAGATACAACAGCACTTGATTTAGGGGACTTTGTATGGCTGGAATGGACTAGGAGCTAGCCTAAGGAAAAGCCAGAGGGCATATATCCTCCAGGTCCTAATGTTACTGGTTTTAGAGTGATCTTTACTCCAGAAACTACAGGCCAAAGACATAGCAAGGAAATCAGTTACAATGATGGGAAATCATTATATCCCAAATCATATTTTAAAACGCTGAGGACTAATGTCCTCATCTCCAGCTGTTAAAACTCTCCCTATATTGCTGACCAGTTTCTGTTTTCATTTACCATTGTCCTAAAATGGTCTACTTTTTGAACATGCAACATTCGCATTTATTTTACAGAGAAAATACATCCTGTTAGAAAGGCAGTTTTCATGTCTGCTTGCTGTTCTTGCATCTAGGAATGTATCGAAGCCACATTCTTACTTAATTCTTTTCTTCCACCTCTGTGAAAATGATATTAATTCCCCTTTTCAAGTCTAATTCTCCTAGAGCTCTAAATTCCCATGTAGTCAAGAAACTTGCTTCTCTCTAATTTTTATATCTCTAAACTTACCTTTTCATTAATTTTTTTCCTTTTAAAATAGGCCCATCTACAACCGTACACTTCTCTACTTTATCAATTCTTTCTCACTTTCAAAATCTGTGAAAGAGTAAACCTCATTAAAGAATTCCTTTTCCCTGTTTCCTATTTGTTGCACAGTGAAACTAACTTTCAAGAGCCACAAATGTATTGACCATTCTTATCAAGTTCAGTGAATGTATTCATAATTGTCTTTTGTATTTTTATCTTTAATTTCCTTCTATTATATGATGCATATATGTCACCTTCTTTCTAGAAATAAATGAATCAGCATATTTTGCTGATTTTTAATAAGCATTTGTCACATCTAGTGATCTTATATGAGGTTCAGTTTCTCTGAAACAACATTAAAATTTCAGCTGATTAATCAAGACTCAAAACACCTATGACTAGCCACAGGATTGCTGAAATACTCTTATGTTATTGTCAACAGCCAGGTATTTATCATGAACATATAAATCAATTGTGAGTTCAAGGATAACACATCACAGCTTTCATTTATTTGATGAAACATTTAACTAGATAGTATCTAGTGTGGCAGATGAACACTAAGATGCCTTCCAATGGTGTCAACCTCTGGTATTAACACTTTTTTGAAATTTTCTCTCCTTGAGTGTGAGTCATAATTATCAACTTAGTTGTAATAAATGGCATAAGAAGGGATAGGATGTCATTTCAAAGATTAGGTTGTAAAAAACCTTGGACAAGTGTTTGTTCTTTCTCGTGAATTGCCTGCTTTGGAGTAAGCTTGCTGTCAGCCCTTAGACAGTCCTGAAGAGATGCCCACATGCCAAAGAACTGAGGGTCCTCTGGTCGACAGCCACCAAGAAATCAGTATCCTCAGTCCAACACCTGTGGAGGAGTGAGGCCTGCCAAATACTGAGTGGGCTTAAAAGTGTATCCTCCACGAGTTGAGTGTTCAGATTACACTAGTCCTGCCTGACAGCTTGTGTGCAACCTCATGAGAGACCCTGATCTACCCGCGCCCACCTATGCCTGAACCACAGAAACAAATGTTGTTTGAAGCCACAAAGTTTGGGAAAAATTTGTTGTATAGCAATAAATAAAAAAACATATTTGGCTTTGTCTCAAAGAGGAATCTCTTCTAAGTAATAGATAGCTCATCATCCATTTGTATTACTGAAAATTACAATTCTCCATGTTATATTGTTTATGAGTCACAGTTAAAACAACAAGGATTACTTATAGTTTCTCAAGAAGTAATAACTGCAGTTAGGCTATTAGAAATCCAGGAAAAATCATTTTTTGATCTGGATTTCCAAAAGAATGAATAAAACTGAGAATGTAATTTGTAAAAGTAGTGATAATAAATGCCCCCAGGTTTACAGAAGATTGAGTGTCTTAGAATAATATTTGCAAACAGGGAAGTTTCAGCTACAGGCAACATCTCCCTAATGAGGTAGTTCATCTAGTCCTAATGGATTAGTCAATGTCTGGAACACATATTTTTGCCTAGATTTCAGGAAGCAGTATGATTGTGCCCTGCTGAGGGGAATCCAAGTGACTGATCTGATCCCTTCAACTTTTAAACATCTGATGAAACACAGAAATGACACAGGGATCAAGGTGGTAAATGTTTGACAACCTGGAAGAAATGTAAAACTGCCTTCTCTCTGAAACGAGCAAAATAAAAATGGTAGAAGTTTTTTGACAATAAAGAGAATAAAAATTGTGAAGTTAAAAGTTTATGAAACATATTCAAATTAGAATGTAAGTAAAATGTACATGATTAATGTAAGGGAAAAATCAGAGTTGAGTTAATCCTACCTTTGTAATAAGATGGCACAACTGACCCTTGAACAATGTGGGGGTTAGCTGTGAAGACCCCTGCTCAGTTGAAAAGCTGCCTATAATTTTTGACTCTCCAGAAACTTAATTAGTAATAGCTCACTTTTGACTGGAAGCATAAACAGTTGATTGACACACATTTTATATTTTATAAGTGTTACATATTATATTCTTACAATAAAGTAGGTAAAAAAAAAGAAAATGTTTTTGCAAATTGCCTCAAATCTCTAAAGATTTCTCCAGTATATTTATTGAAAAAAACCTGTGTATAAGCAGACCCATTAAGTTCAAACCCAGGTTGTTCAAGGGCCAACTGCAATCTCATAATAAATAAACTGGCTTGGCAATTGTGTGGAGATTTATTTCCTTTCATAAGTTAGGCTGTAGTGAACCTGTGACTACTGTCATAGCTTTTTGTTCAGTTTACATTCTATTTTTCAATGATTCTATTTCTCACTACTATAAGTCATATTTTCCCAAATCAAGGATCTCATTATGACTGTTGTCTGTACAAAATCTGTGACTGACTACTAAAATTAGCTTACCTTCCATGACATTCCATTAAGTCTCCCTGCAGAATGGTGAAGCATATTGGTATTATAGCTTTACTACTTATCAGCTATGGTATGATGAGCATGGCATTTAAAATTCTCTGTATTTTAGTTTTCTTATCTACAAAACAACATAATTTTAGTGAGCACAAATGTTTATTGTGAAAATCAAGAGAAATAACTCATGATTCAGGTTCTTCATAAACATTAGGTATTACTCTATTATTGTATTATTGCTGCTTTGAGATTCAAGGTAATCTAAGATTATGAATGTCTACTACTTAACAGAAGATTTTATATATTATTTATCTCACTTAATTTTAACTACACATTTCTGTAATAGGAATTATTATTCCCATTTTACAGATGAGGAGACAAGATCCAGACACTGTAAGTAACTGCTCTAAAGTCTTACAGTGACTGAGTGCTACAGCCCAGGTTGTCTGACTTCACACTGAGGGTACTTTTACTGCACAAGAGCTGTTCCTCCAGGCAGGTCACCTATTGTTCCACTCTGAAGAACACCGGTTAATAGTGCTGGCCATGAGTTTCCCCTGCATAACCAGTTACTTGCAATTTATACAAACTCTCTGAGGTTCACTTTTCTCCAGTGTAAAAGACAGTAATGCTTATTTTTATAAGCTTATTAAGAGGATTGCTTCACTTAAATAGTACAGTAGCTAGCATATAATAATGTGCATAATTTTACTATTTTGTGTACAAATTTTATTAGTACTTATTTTATTTTATTAAAGTTTATTAGTTTATATTTATGTTAGTGTTAGTTTATTTCAAGACACTTAATGTCATTCTAACTTCCTGCACTTTAGTTCCTCATTACAAGTGCCTTAATCTTCCCCGTGTTTATCCCTTTGTCCTGAAGCATTGTATTATTTTTCAACTAGATTAGATTCAAAATCCCTTGACAAACTCTGTGAGTCTAGATATGCTTCACCATTCAGAATTTTGTTTTATTTTAGAAAGGTAATAAAAGAGTATATATCTTGTTTATTACATGACATACCCTGGAAGGATCCAGAACAGAATGATACCATTAAACACAATAACATCTTGTTACAAATAGTACATATGTTCACACTCATTTGGCTAAGTAACAGTACTTAGGCTCACGTCAGTTCAGGTCATAAATTCTAACACATGTAGATCAAGCTAGCATGTGCCACCAAATAATTAAATTAAAATAATTTTTAAGTTTTAAAAAAAATTCTATTTTAGAATTGCACATGAAGACTTGTAGATCTGTATGACCTCGCCTTACTTCCATAACAATTTTGCTAGGTTCTTTCTCAAGGTTATTAGTATTCTATCTGAGACAATTGTGTATTTACTGATCTTAGCCTCCACTACTGTGCAAAGTCTTTAAGGGCAGGGAATGCTCTTCAGGATGAAGGATGTTCTTAAATTCCACTAGGTGTGTTAGGCATACTTTATAAACAAGAAAATATCACAACAATATTCCAAATGCATATGGTGCTAGAAGTACTTGTCTTTCAAATATGACAATACTCCTTCTCATGATCATTAATATACACTGAGTCATTATTCAAGCAAATTTCTTTGGAAAGGAACACCCTAAATTATACCGATATTAAGTCCACAAGAAGATCTCATAAAAAATTTAACTTATCCAATGGTCTCCAGAATGAGGATTTCAGAAGAGGTATGCTCCAAAATTTCAAACTCTAATCTAAATTTGGGAAATTAGGACACGATGGGGGAAAATTCTTAATACCTGATTTTGTAATTTTTGATAAGTTAGTTAAAAGCCAATGATGATATTGACTAAAATTTATTTCATTCTATGTCCTTGTGAATCATTTTCTTCTTAGTTATGATTCACTTTAGAAGAAACATAGTAATTCATGAATCTCACCTATGTGTTGTCCATACATATGATAGAAGAAGCTGAAACAATATGCAGTGTTTGTCGGTCCATAAGGATTTTTAGGAGCTATGCTGAAAACAGGGCTGAGAAGTCGTGCCTTTTCACCTTCCAATCTAGGTCGAGATGTCTCAATGTACATATAAAAACCTTCAAAAAGACAAAATATTTAAACACATTATTAGGTGACATGAAATCTGAAATCACTGAGAAGTTTTAGAGTTTTCATCAAAACAAAGTTTGATAGGATTTGTATCTCATTTATAAAGTATGTATACACGCAACATAATGTAAAGAATAAATGATCTAAATAATTAAAGATAAAATTACTTAAAATGTTTAAAAACTTGAGACAAAATTGGAATTTTAGGTTTGAATTATGAAAAAATAATCCTAATCTCTCAACTATATATATACGTCAGTAAAAATTGAAATTTTAGACTTGAATTATGAAAAAGAATTCTAATCTCTCAACTACATACATCAGTGAGTTTTAAGAGAAAAATAATGTTTAAAACCTTTGGAAATATCTGAGTTACTGATACTGAACATAAAAAACACTCCATGATCTTCCAATCAATAGCTAAGCATTCTCTTGCATGTCATATTAATGGCATTTCTAAAATGGATAGCCTATGATTGCTATGAATACAACATTTCATACCCTCATACCTTCTTTGGAGCCACTACGATCAGCATTAGGTCCTGTGTTTGGAGTATATTTTGTATTTCTTGTTGCGGTGCTCTGCTTGGTCCAGTCAAAGTTATCTGTGTCATCTTGGGTGAACAAACAAATGTTACCATCTTCAAATCCACAGTGAAATTCTCCTGTTAACACATTTTAATTAAAGTGATCAATATTAATTACAATAACACAAACACTGCAGTATTCTTATAAGCAAAAATTTAAAACATTATATAGTAATAGTAATGCTAGATTACAATAATGGCACCCGAGCGATCATAGTGCACAAGATTACAACTAAATTTAAAGCTTTTCATTGTTAATGAAAAAGAAAAATAATCTTGGTATATAAACCAATCTCTTATTTAATAACTAAACCCAAACCTTTTACCTCTGAAAGATCCAAGTAACTTAGATTTAATTATTAATTTAATTAATATAATTAATGAAATTAAAGAATATAATTTACACTTATATTTTGGCTAATGAGTTTTCCCAACTTTCATTTTATAAGTATAGGAACAATTGAACAAAAGTATCAATTAGAAAATTATCTTTATTAATTTACCTGACAGCACTTTAAAGTTATATACCTTAAAGCTATAATTTTTGATTCCATGCCTGGGAATGCTTTCATATATACTCATTTGCACAAATACAAGTTTATTTAGGGGAAGATAATGGCAAATTATTTTAAAAAGTAGTTCTCTTTCAGATCTAATATTTAATAGATGAAATATTGAAAAAATTCATGAAGACCCTGTGGAGGGACTGAGATTTCTTGGATGTCTGCTCCATGCTAAATCTAGACCCACAACAAATTCAGAGAGAGCTTTCCTCAACTGTCCCTGAAATGAAGGTGGTAGTGACATTTCCTGGTATCAAATGGTTTTTTTACTGGGATGTACTCTGCTTGAAATATAGGAGTAAATAAAGGAGATAATAAAATTCATTAGACAAGATGTAAATGATCTTTGAGAAAAATTCAACATAATTTATATTATTTCATTCAAACTCATAACAGCTCTGTGAAATCACAGCAATACCAATGAAGCTGACATGAGAGAAGAAAACTTTGCCTAAGTTCATATGGTACATAATACAGTCAAACTGAATAGAGATCCCCTGGAATTCACAGAGATATAAACTTCTCAATAACAGAGACTCTGTTTGTCTCTTTTCACTAACAATGGATTAGACTTATCAGATATCCCTGGGAGTGGAGTCCTTGAAGTTGGACCCTGATTAATCTGTGTGTTTCTATACACTAACAATGAATTACCTGAAAAGCAAATTGAGAAAACTATCCCATTTACAATAGCATTGAAAAGAAAAAAATACTTGGTAATAAACTTAACCAAATAAATGAAAATCCTTGTACATTGAAAACTACAAGGTCTCAATGAAAGAAATTAAAGAAGGCACAAATATTTGGAAAGACACCTTATATTCTTAGTTTGGAAGAATTAATATTGTTAAAATGCCCATACCAATGAAAATGATCTATAGATTCAATTCAATTCCCATAAAAATATACCAATAGTATTTTTTTATAGTAGTACAAACATTCCTAAAATTTATATAGAACCATGAAAGACCTTGAATTCTCAACACAATTATGAACAAGAAGAACAAAGCTGGAGGTACTATACTTGTTTATTTTAAAACATATTACAAAGCTATAATATGGTAGATTTTATCATCTAGAAATCCTTCCTATGCATATAAACCTAAAGGAAATGAAACCAAAATATTGAAGAGATATGTGCACTCCCATGCTCACTATAATGTTATTCACAATTGCCAAGACATGGAAACAACCTAAATGTTCATCACTGGATGAATGGAAAAGAAAATGTGGCATATGCATACATTGGAATATCATCAGCCTTAAAAAAGAAAGAAATTTTACCATATGTGACAACATTAATGAACCAGGAGGACATTATCTAAGTAAAATAAGCTAGTCAGAGAAACAAATACTGAATGATTACACTTACATGAGCTATCTAAAATGTCCAAACACATGCAAGCAGAGTAGAATCTAGTTATCAAGGATTGAGGGAGATGATGGACACAGGTATGAACTTTCAGTTAAGAGGAATACTTTCTGAGGATCTGCTATACAACACTGTGGCTATAATTAGCAATACTGTGTTATATACTTTAAAAAATTATTAAGAAGGTAGATCTCATGTTAAGTTTTCTTATTACATTAAAAAAAATAAAAGAGAAGAAGAGAAGGTTGGAGAGAAGGAAGAAAATAAAGAATAAACCACTGATATTTACAAATAAAATAAAACAGAAGGCTTTCCCTTTGAGTTTAAATAATACACTTGTTTTGTTTTCAAATTAAAGATTCACTGAACCTATTTATGTTTATTTTTAGGTTATTCTCTGAGTAGGAATGTTTACAGAGAATATAAGCATTTGGGGGATTCTAAGTTAGTAAATTTTGGGGTAAAAAATATTCCACATAAAATATCTATTAGCATTTTTATATTAAAGATCTCTGACTAAATGAGACATGACTTCCTGGTCCTATCAATTGAAGATCTAATGTTGGTGACAGCTGTGCAGCTATATGCATGGATAGATTTCTTTAAATGTCTACTAGGAACAATATCAGATTCCTTTAGTTCCTACTTTGGAGTCATTATAAAGGCAATGTTTGATTTGAAATGTTTTCAGTTGTTTAATTATGTATATGTACACAAATGAAATGTCAAAAAACAAATATAAAGACTGAGTATTTCTTTATATATCTGCTGCCAAGTCTTACCATTTATGTTATTTAAGATTATGTGAAATGAACTTTTGTAACATCTAGTAAATATATTGTGTATAATTTTATTTCACTTTGTTTGAAAAAGAAACTGTAAAAACAATTTTTAAAATGGGAATCTGTAAGTCTCTCATAGTAAAATGAAGCAAGATATAGCTTATGAAAACTAAGACATGCCTATATACCTAGATATGCCTAAATTTTTCATAATTTGGGTTATTTTTATGTTACACAAATTGTTTACAATAAACTTAAAGGAGATCTAAAACTATAATTCACACTAGCCAAAGATACATAAGTAATCTCAATAGTTTTTCATTACTGCTATGGATATATCTTTACAGTAAAGAAACCTATTACTGGAGAGATGTTATGAAACATCACCAGGTGAAATGGAAAAAACACTATTCAAGACCATAGTAATTTTATGATTATCTTGCCATTTTATGTGAGCAATTATAAATATATTTTTAAAGGTCTATTCATAAAAATATTTATTGAAATAAGGAATATCTTTATGGATAATGAAAATGCACCAGTCTGTAAAAACTTACCAAAAGTCAATGCAATATTAAATATTAGAATATCTCATAAAATAGGAAAGTAATAAAATCTAGGGTTTTCACAAAGCTATGGTACTGAAGATTGACTTGGTTTTGAGTTTTTCACTAGTTTTCTAATTAATTGCAATGTGATTTAGTAGAGCTTCCAGATATGCATGGAAATAAATAAAAGTATTTGAGATATTCTGTATTACATGGTCTCCAAAATTGTGTATTATGTCCCTGAATCCTTCTCTATGTAGTAAAGAAAGAATCAAAACTCAGGGATAAGCACCTTGGTGTCCAATATTCCTCTAGCTCAAGGGCTCTTGCACCCACCTACCCTCCTTATCTATTTTTTATTTTATTTTTTCAGCACTACTGAGGTATAATTGACAAGTAAAAATTGTATATATTTAGGTGTACAACTTGATATTTTGATATACATATACATTTTGAAATAATTACCATAATCAAGGAAATTAATATATCTATCATTTCATATATCAGTTACTACTATTTTTCTTTCACTTTTATTTTTATTTTTGTGATGAGAAGAATTAAGATCTTCCCTCTTAGCAAATTTCACGTATACAATACAGTATTGTTAAATGTAGTCTCTATGCTATGCATTAGATTTCAGAACTTACTCATCTAGCATAAGTGAAAATGTATACCCTTTTGACTCACATGTCTGCATTTCCCCCTCCTTCTGGCTCTTGGCAACCAACATTCTATTTTCTGCCTCAGAGTTTGACTAGTTTACATCACACATGTAAGTGAGATCATGAAATATTTGCCCTTCTGTGTCTGGCATATTTTACCTAGCATAATAAACCAAAGTCATCCATGTTGTCTCAAATGGTAAAATAGCCTTCCTTTTTAAAGCTGATTAATATTAATATGGAGGTATACACTGAATTTTCTTTCTTCATTTATCTATCCATTGACAGTGTGTTCCCGTTTCTTGGTTACTGTGAATAATGCTGCAATGAACTTGGCATTACAGGTACCTCCTCACAATTGAGAGTTCTATTTTTAGTGTTTTTAGGAACCTCCATACTGCTTTCCACAGTGGCTGTCTATGTGGACAGATAGTAGTGCACGAGTGAGGGGGAGAATTTAATAATATGGGAACTGTTGAATCACTGTGCTGTGTACTTGAAACCAATATAAGACAATATATCAACTATACTTTAATAAAAAATCCACAGGGATTGACAGTTTATATCCTTTGGATACATGTTCATAAGTGGGATTGCTGGATCATATGGTAGTTCTATTTTTAATTTGTTGAGGAATCTCCATTCTATTTTCCAAAATGGCTATAGTAATTTGCATTCCCACCAATAGTGGACAAGGGTGAACTGCAGAGACTGTCCCATCCCAATTGTGTGTTCTTGACATGCTTGTAGAAAATCAGTGGGCCACAAATTTGTGGATTTATTTATGGGTTCTGTATTTTGTTCCACTGCGGTACCTATTGGTTTTTATGCCAGTAGCATACTTCTGATTGCTGTAGCTTTGTAATATATTTGAAAATACTCCACCTTTGTTCTTCTTGCTCAAGATTGCATTGGTTATTTGGGATCTTCTGTAGTTCCATGTGAATTTTAGGAATGCTTTTTTGATTTCTGTGAAGAATTCCATTGATATTCTGATAGGGATTGTATTGAATCTATAAATCATTTTAAGTAATAGGACATTTTAACCATAGTATTTCTTCCAACCCATTATCATGGGGCATCTTTCCATTTATGTCGGCTCTAATTTCCTTCAACAATGTGTACAAGTCTTTCACTTATTTTCTTAGGTTTGTATCTAAGTATTTTATTCTTTTTTGTTGCTGTTGTGAATGGAATTATTTTCTTAATTTTCATAATGGTTCATTTATAGTGTATAGAAATGCCACTGTTTTTTGTATATTGATTTTACATCACACCACTTTACTGAGCTTTTTATTAGTTCTAACTTTGGACTAATATTTTTGAGTGGGTTATTATGGTAAATCCTCTTTTTATTTTTCAGGTTTTTTTTTAGAGATAGGGATATGTATATATAAGCACACTTATATTATTTTATTATGCATATATATTTCATATATACATACACCTATATTGTCTAGTACTCATAGTTTCTAATATAAAGTAAATGAAGTAAAAAAATAATTTTCTAAAAGTTGTAAATTTTAACAATTTTACAGACTTCAAAATCTAAAATAGACCAAATAAACTTTTCAAAAAATTGAGGATGTCTCAACAAGAGAAAATTCCAAGTCCATTACTGAGATACTTGAGAGACCCCAGAAACCATTTCAATCTGAGTTCAATTTTTTCTTTTCAATTAACACAGTCCAATCAGGCTAACCTTCAGATCTGGTCCACGGGTACCCTTCCTCAGGAAATAAGCAAGGTATGAGAAGGACAGGGGGGAGCTGCTGGTGCTTGGAATATAGCTCTCTTGAAAAATTACAATCAAAAGTTTAAAAAAAAACTCTAAATAGAAATCCTTCCCCTTTTAAAATTAGGAAATAAGCTTTTTTAAAAATAAGAACCAGACTATGACAAAATTTCATGGACTTTCTCTTTATACATATTTGGAAGTGAATATTTAGGATAAATAAATTTACTTAGAGACTACATAAGTTCATAAAATGAAAAAGAGCATTTAATATTAGTTTGACCTATTGTTAAAATATAAAGTCCTTATCACATTTATTATCCTATTAAATATAATATATATTCTGATATATTCTTACAATCATTTTTTTCTACTAGGATGATGTTACAAATTTTAATTTATAATTAAGCCAATGTATATTCAAAAGATTTTAAAACTTTATTAACAAGACAATAATCTTTTATGGAATAAATATTGCTAAATGGTGTTATAAAAATTAATTACACATAATCATAAATAACATGTAAGAAGGAAGATTTGGCAGCACTTGCTTCGTTTTAAAAAATAAAATAGAATCATAACAGAAGTACTTAATGTTTTTAATTGCATTTTCTCCTTATTTAGATTTTTTATCCCCAGAACTTCTTACTTTTCATTCTCTTCAACTTGGTTAACAATATCATTACTGAGAAGGTCTGTTTTAATGGAATATGGAGAATAAGCAGGTATATTATAACACTGAAATATTACAGCAAAATTAGTAGCAGAAAACAAGTTTGTCAGGGACTGTGGTGCAAGGATGTTTATCTACAAAGCAGAAAAATGGACATCTTAAGGGAGATGGAGCTTTGTGGTGATGGTTACATAACTGTATTAATTAGTCAACGCTTTACAGGAATGTATGCAAAAGAGAGTAAATTTTACCATATGCAAATTATGCCTTGAAAATATATGGCAAAAATTTAAAAATTATATCATTAAATTAAATTAAATTATAGCATTTAGGGAAGATAATCTTCAGTAAAAGTAGTCTGAGGAAAGAAAAATTAACTTTCTTTAGCAAAATCTAAAGCAAAACATGACCTTTTAAACATAGACTTATTTTCTTCTCTTATTGATAATCTCTGGCTAGATTAAGAGTCTTAATCTATAATGAATAGATTTGTTTGATAAAACATTTCTTATATGTATTTGGAAGACAATAACAGGATTAAATAAATTAATTAATAAGGGAAAAAGTATATGACTCAATAACACAAAATAATTACTCTTGACAACCTAGAGAAATCATTATGTGACAATTACTAAAAACTATATTCTAAACAATTTATCTTCTACCATACTGAATATTCATTAAAAAAATTTAAAGGTACACAGCCAATGGAAATCTTCAGTATGGAAAGCTATTCTAGAAATTACTTTAAAATAGAAAATCCAATCCATTGTCTGACTACAAAATATGAATGCTTGCTGAGGAAGAGAAGCTGGTAACTATGACCCAAAAAAGATTGACCCAAACTTGAAGCTTCAAATTCTAATTACTGTAGCCCATTGTCAGGGCAAACTTCTGGCTTTTGTGACTTTTGAACGTTGTACTCCAGACACTGAGTTTTACTCAGTTATTATCTGAACATGACCTTCATTTTAAAGGCAGGCATGCCTTTGTTCCATCACCTGAGGGACCTCTATTCAACTTTCAGGATCTAGTTCAAATATAATCTCTTCTGTAAAACTTTTCATTTGCCATAAAATAAACAGTACTTATTATTAAAGTGATCTGTTAGCAAATACTCCCTTTACCATATATTTATATATGCATTTGTTCAACAAGTAGAAGCTCTTCAAAATTTTTTCCTTGAAGTATTTGTCAACCTTTTCCTGTATGTAGTTTTAAGTCCCCATGACAACTCTTTTTAACATTTCTACTGAAAATGTAATCAGAGGACTTACCTTCAAAGAAACTATAATCAATAAAATAGTTCGATAGCAATAGTATCTTGGGTAGAAACCAGGGATTTATGCAATTACTTAATCTTGAAATTGTCATGTTTTTGTTCTTTAACAAATGATGATTGAACACCTGCTAAATATGAGATGTTGTGACAGATACAAAGATAGTGAGATATAGGGATATAGGGATAGAGGCAAATTTGGCTCCTAAGCATTTTAGTGGAGAATATGAGAAAATAAAAAATAGTTTGTCACATAGATGAAGATAATTTGTTATGGGAAATCAGGGAGAATACTTAGTGGAGGAAGAAGCATTTGTGTTAAATCTTATTAAAAAAGTGACCCTCAGAGGGCTGATAATAACATTCACACTAAAGGGTCACTGTGATGACTAAATGAACTATTCATGAAAGCAATGTGTAAACAATAATGATAGAGAGTATTCAATACTGCAGTTTGGATATGCGGAAGTAGAAAAAAAGAGAGCATCTTTGGTAAAAATACAGTAAGAACTGAGTTAATGTAGTTTGGGCTTTGGTATATAATCAATATAGGCCCATTGTAGGAAAGGAAATAAAGTGAGGAAAAAGACTCGGACATTCTCTTCACTAAATGTAGGTAGACAGAATGTTTGATGGATGGGAGTAAGAGTGTGAAGTTGGTTCTTCCTCCTTTTATTAGCCAAGAACAATATATTCCTAGACACAAAAGAGGAGGCCAAAATTAATCCTTAATTTTAATACAAGATATTATCAAGAGGATGGTGAAAAGATTATCTTCTTTTTGATAAAAAATTGGGGATATAAAAGAGTGATCCGTGAAAACTCTTGATCAAACCATTCAAATACCAACTTTCTAAGTAAATACAGTCTTTTAAGGGTAGAAAGTAGAAATCAAAGAAAGATAACTGAAGAAACAAACAATAGCAATAAAAATGATATGAAAAGCCACAAAAGAAAAAACAATCCCACAGTTAGACAACAGCAAATATTAAGCAAGTTGGGAGAAATGGCTCCATATTTAGGAAATCCTTTAAAAATCAATTATCAGTATTAAATAATTTGTCTTATATCCATATTCTTTGAAACTTAAAATTCATGTTTAATGCCAGTTTTACTGTTTCAAAGTTATTCCATTTTAAACCAAATATGTACAGTTGCTAAATAATCTTTCCATATTTATGCATTTTCTATTTTTACTTGTGAAATACGGTGCCATTTTTAAGTGAAAATATACTTACTCAAATGAGGGTTAACAGGAGCTATAAGAAAAGCAAAAAATAATGTTAGCATGGCTTGAATGTCTTATAAATAAGAGTCTAATTAGTGTCTTATAGTTTCTTACCAAACTTAATGATCTTCCCCACTGTGGCCATGGAGAATTATACCTGCAATCCATTTTGTTCTAGATGATTGAATAGAAACTATTTTGGAGTTCAGCAATAACAACCTCAAAGTACTCCAAAGATCAATGCTACATGGCATGTGGGATTTGTTCATTTTCCAAGGAATGGAGTTGCTGATCTTTTATATCTTAACCAGTGCTAAACAAAATCCAGGAATCAAAACTGAAGCTGAGAGTAAGCCAACCTATAAGCTAGATGTTTTAACAATGAAAGCAATTATCCAACAGAGCTTTTTTTTTTTCTTTTTCTTTTTGCTGTTACCTACTTCTGTGAAAATAACCTGGTACATATGGAAATAAAGTAATCCTCTCATCATATGTGTCATAGAACAAGTAGCTACTTTAATGCTGCTTTAATTACATTAATACACACACAAAGTTTTCAAGTGATAAGTGACACATTTGCATTTTTGTGCACCAGAAGAAATATTTATTGCAAAAAAACCGATTGTGTTTGCAGTACAAGTGCCAACTGATTTCTACCTGAAGAGAAATGAATACTTTGCATTTTAACTGAAACAACAAAAAGATATCTACCCTAGAGACAAAATGGTATCTGTATATATCAATTAGGCATGTATCACTTTGAGAGAAAATTCCATTCTGGATGAAGTAAAGCACTATTGCAGTGTTCCAAGATTACAACAGGCAGTTATTCTAACCTGTGAAAGTTTGTCTACTCTGCTGTTAATTCCTACTGTTTGCCAATAACCACTTTGTTAAATTTGGATAATCCTAGCAAAGTATGATAGTCAAAAATACATATACATGCACAAAGCATGTTTGTATATAATTATTATATTAATAGACTGAGATCAATTTTAACAAAGTGAGTTTCTCAATTAATTATTTCTACTATTTCTACATTCAGAAGACAGACTATTCCCATTACTTAGTTGTTTTTGTGCTTTTGCATTCCCCAGTGCAAATTATAAGATGAATTACATACAGGAGGGAATATATACTTATTAATTTCCACTGAAGTGGAGGAAAAGTATTTTTTTTCAAGATATCAATATATTTCAATTTGCAACTAATTAGTAAAAATTAATATTATTTTATAATTAAAATAATATGAAATTATAGAATTTTCCATGTATTATCTCTCAAAGAAGTAAAGCATCTTTGACTTATGATTTAATTCTAAAAATTTTGTCATGTATACAGATAACTTCTGGCCAGATGGAATTTCAATTGAGTATCCTCCTACACTATCTTTATTCACAAAATTCACTATAAATAGCATAATTAACCTTGTGAAATCTGCCATTCCAAAGTCTAAATATTTTAGTGAGTCCATTTTTTATTTCAACTGAACTTGACTAATTACTTATAAATGTCTATAAATCCATATTACATAAAATATGTATTATTTAAAAGTAATTTTAAATAAGATGTCTAAGATTTTAATAAGTATGCCTAAGAACATAAAGATAATTAAAGTTGATGCTAAATGAAGTATCTATTTTCTAGATTTATTTTTCATTTTAGTTGTTGCGTTGGAGTTTTCAATAAGAACTAATGAGTTTATGAAGATTTTTTTCTATATCTCTTTAAATCTCTTTAAGAAAAGTCATAACCATTTCTAAACTTAGCAAAGAAATATAGAACCTTCGTCATGAAGGATAGAGCCCTGATTCTAGTCAGAGTTTGTCATTTCATAGTTGTTTAACTCTACAATGAAACATTCTGGATCTTAATAACTTCATTGTTTTAAGGAATAGATATTAATTTATAGTTTCCAATGTTCCTCCATATTAAATAGTCTATATAGTCTTATAACTTAGAGGCAGGGAGTATAAACATTAGATAAGAGGAGATAATAATTCATATTTTATAAAACATATGAAACTAAAACTTTAGAAAACACACTGGATGTTATCTAGTTGTCTGCCTGATGGAATTGTATAGGTGATTATAGAATAAGAATCGTTATTCTCTATTAATATTACCAACATACAAACCATATGTTTTCAAAGAACCACATTCACAAAAAGATGTGAAGAAATTCTAATGCTGTTACATATATGATTTTCTATGAATACACCCTTTTATACTATATAACTTGGTTTTTAAATGAAAATTGAATGTGTCATGCTAAATATGCTCTGACTGATAAGTAGAATGAAGCAAAGTGACTTCATATGAAAAAGCAACTCAAATGAGTTTTTAATAATTTCACTTTATTTTTTACTTTGACAGTGTTTAATTTTCCTCCCAAGTAAGAAAAATATACTTAATGATAAACACAATGGAGAACTTCAACTGCAAAGGAACACATTCTATTATCTTTTTAACCCAAGCTCTGAAAATCAATAAGGAAGGTAATGTTGCATCAAAGTAATGAAACAAATATGAAATATTTTGCCAGTGATTCATTCAACCCTGAAAAGCACATCAACAATTCTAGAGGTAGTCATTTAATATTATAAATTTCAATTGAAAAATGCACATAATTTCAATTGATAAAATATTCATCTTAGTATGCATTAAAATAATATCATATATACAATTGCCATTGTTTCTACTTTTCAGTAATTTTTGATCAACTTTTAATTTTTTTTCATAGTTTTATACTAGTTTGTTTTTGCTCAAGTAGAACATTTAAGTAGTGAAGAAATATAAAATTCATGCAGTTTATGAAAGTATGCTATCACTACCATACACACAAACACACACGTACATTTAGATATTTTTAACATTAGTAATCTAAAGGAAAAATATGGCCAAAATAATCAACTAAGATGTAGTTCACCAGGTGAATGGATAAACAAATTGTGATACATCTATATAAGGAGATATTATTCAACAATAAAAACAAATGAGCTACCAAGCCATAAAGACATGGAAAAAACTTAAATGTATATTGCTATGAGAAATAAGCCAGTTAGAAAAGGCTATATGCTTAATGATTCCAACTACCCCACATTCCAGAAAAGGCAAAACTACGGACAGCAACAAGATCCGTGGTTGTCAGGGCTGAAGGAGGTACGGAGGGAAAAACAGATAGAGCACAGGGGATCTTTAGGGCAGGGAAACTTTTCTGTATGATGCTGTAATGGTAAATAAATAACACTACACACTTGTCAGACATCCATATAACTGTACAACAAAAGTAATAAACCCTAATGTAAACTATCTACTTAACAATAATGTGTCAATATTGGTTAATCAGTTGCAACAAATGTACCATGTTAATGAAAGATGTTAATACGGGAAACTGTTCAGGGGGAGAGGATATATATGGGAGTTCTTTACACTTTCTGTTCAACTTTCTAAATAAAAATATACTAAAACTGTTCTAAAAAATGAAATCAAAATTAAAAAAGAAATTGATCACATTTGCTAACTTCTTAGTGATATAAATTTTAAAACCACAAAGAATTTGGAAAAATAAAATACAGAAATATTGCATCATAACCTATGGGATAGAAAATAAAGAAACATTGCAGGCATTATCACGTAAGTTCAATGTTAACTAAAACATTTTTCCATATCTCTACATTCATTATCAAATGTTACAATTTGTGATGATTAAGTTTTATTTGTTTGTTTTGTTCTCGGTCACTTGGCTCCTGACCCTGAAAAATCAATATCCTAAATTTTGGTTTGTGTCTAAATTTGGTAAATAGTTGCAACCTATGCATTACAGATAGTTTAATATGCAAATAAGTTACTTTTAAATAAAAGGCTACTCACCACTATATTTGATGACACGAATTGTTGAATCTCCTTCTCCAAATTTGGTGAGAGGAGTTAGTCGGACTTCATAAGCCTCTGGTTTAATTAGTTCAGTCAAGTTGTATGTAATTAATTCTCCTTTTTGAATATTTCCATTTATTTTAATCTCCTGTTCCCACCAACGCTGCTGTCCAGCCTGAAATCAAAACAATTATGTAATCATGTGCCTAGTATTTTTTTCAGTTATGTATTGCATTCTAACAAAATGGGAAAAATGAATTCTGAAATTTTATTAAATAATGGGATACTATTATATGAATATATCTATTAAAGTTCAGGTTCCTACAATAAGAAGCAAATTTTGCAGATGTTTCCATGCAGATGTTTACAGATAATTACAAAATTATCACAGACTAGTCTGGCTGATTAAACAGATTTAATATGTCATCTAATATTTAGAGTCAGAAGAATCAAACGATAGTCTTTATTGGAGTCTCAATCTGGAGGTTTGGAGAGGTCTGTTTACTTCCTACTTAAGGAGGAAAGACAAAACAATAGAACAAAGACAATATTTTCAGCAAATTGTGCTGGGACACTGAGCATTCACATGCAAAATACTGAATCTAGATAAAAACTTTACACGTTCACAACGTGTAACTCAAAATGGATCACAGACCTAAATGTAAAACACAAAACTATAAAACATAGGATAAAATCTACATAACCCTGTATTTGCCACTGACTTTTAAGGTATAACACCAAAAGCACAAACCATGGAAGAAATAATTGATAAGTTATACTTCTTTAAATTAAAAATTCCTACTCTACAAAAGACATTATCAAGAGAATGAAAAGCCACAGACTGTAAGAAAGTATTTGTAAAAGACACATCTGATAGAGGACTCATCCAAAATATATAAAGATCTATTAAAATTCAACAATAAGTATACAAATGGTCCATTTAAAAAATAGGCCACAGGATCTTAACAGAAATGGTGCTTCACATTATATGTCATCAGAGAAATGAAAATTAGAACAACAATGAAATATCACTGCACACCTATTTAAATGATCAAAATCCAGAAACTGGTAATACCAAACAACAGTTCTCATTCATTGCTGGACAGAATACAAAATGATATGGCCACTTTGGAGACAGATCGGCAGTTTTCTTTTTTGAAAAAACTAAATATACTTTTACTATATGTTCCAGCAATGTGCTCCTTGGTATTTACCCAAAGGAGCTGAAAACTTATGTCCATACAAAAATCTGCACATGGATGTTTATAGCAGCTTTACTCTTAATTGCCAAAACCTGGAGTAACCAAGATGTTCTTCAGTAGGTGAACGGATAAACTGCTGTAACGAGACAATGAGATATTTTTCAATGCTAAAAAAAATAATAAGCTATCAAGCCATAAAAAGACATGGCAAAAACTTAAATGAATATTACCAAGTGAAAGAATCTAATCTGAAAAGGGTATATAGTGTATGATGCCAAACCATATGACATTCCGGAAAGAGCAAAACTATAGAGACAGTAAAAAATCAGTGGTTGCCAGGAGTTGGTGGGAAGCAGAAATGAAGAAGATGAACACAGAGAATTTTTTGGACAGTGAAACTGCTGTGTTTGATGATATAATAGTGAATACATGTCATTATAAATCTGTCCGAATGCATAGAATGTATAGCACCTAGAGTAAACCCTAATGTGAACATGGACTTTGGCTGATGGATGATCAGTCAATGCAAGGTCATCAGCTGTGACAAGTGCACCACTTTGGTGGAGGATGTGGATTCTGGTGGAGGCTATACATATGTTGGGGCAAAGGATATATGGGAAATCACTGTACCTTCTACTCAATATTACTATGAACCTAAATCTATTCTAAAAGAATAATCTTTAAAAAAGATCTGTGTGCCACTTTTAGTTTCCTGTCCTCTCCAGCTTTCTTTTACTTATGTAAGTATTGTAAATATAGTTGCCTTATAATATTTAAAATATTTATCTGACACCTTTTATAACTGGAGTCTATAGCGACTTTGTTCATGGCGATTTTCTCCTTGTATTTTCTTCGTTATTTTTAACTGTGTGTTGACCATGCAGGTAAAAATATGATTACTGGGGGTTCTTTGCAGTTTGGAACAGAGATATATTCCTTTAGAGATGCGCCTTAGTTTCTGACATGCTCCTAAGGGCATCAACAGTAGGATTCATTTTTACTTTGATTATGAAACCCTTTGGTATCACAGATTAAAGTGGGGATGATCCCCTGCTTTGGGCAGGCCTTGGGTTTTCCTTGCTGTTTGCCTCACCACTGCTAAACTCTAAGAATCAAAGTTCAGGTTTGTCTGGATTGATGAAGAGCTGAAGGTGCAAAGCAATTTGGGTGGATATTCCATTTATTACTCTGAGTTTCCATTTTTCCCTTAATTTTTAGGTAGTAATTTCATATACACATGTAAGTATATGAAACTTTTATATGTTTATATTTATAAACATGTTCATATATTTATATGTATTTTATACATGTTTCACATATATAGTTTCATATATAGAGAGATACACACACACTTCCCTATATGCACACACAGAATACTGTAAATACACATTTTTTCATATATTTTATATATTTACTTATTTCCTGAAGGTAGTTAGTCCAATTATGTAGATTAGCCTGCTATATTTCTAGAAATAAAAATCTCTAACATGTGCCATTAGCACAGGACTAGAAAAATGACATAAAATAATGGAAGGGAACAGAAAACTTGTAAGTAGATTTGTGGAGTGGTTTACACAGAAGACAAGGAAAGGCATACCATTTAGCTGTCTATGTATAGGGAACAATCATGAATTTGATGCCTACCTCACATCTTATATAAAAAGACTGTCTTGGGAGGATCAGGTATTTAAATTTAAAAGGTGAAAGTTATACCATTAAGAAAAAATACAAAAGAATGTCATTATGATATCAAATAAGATATTGCTCCCCTAAATAGAAGAGAAAAGCACAAAAGATTTGTGTTTTTGAAATTTTGTCAAAGTTATATCTACAGTTTCTTTTTGGTGGGTATATAATTCTAGAAATTTTCTATCTATATGTAAGTATGTATTTGTATTTTTAAAACAAAAAGTTGGTGTACTTTACATATTTCTGAATTATGCCTATTTTGTTGTTTCATTATTTCACTTATAAAATTGTGGAGGTAATTTTATATCACACAACAGAATTATCTTTTTAAAAATATATTTTCTCAGAACTCACTGTATGGATCACCATAAATTACTAATTTAATATCGTATTATTAAACTTTTAGGTTGTTAACTGATTTTTGCCATTACAAACGATGCTGTAGTAAACACTGCTGGACATTTAGTTTTATACTCATCATGTCAGTATATGTTGAAGAATAAATCCATAGAAATGGAATTGCCATATCTAAATGTATACACATTTAAAATGTTGACCAATATTATCAGGTTGTCCTCTAAAGAGGTTGTACTAACAATTTATAAGTGCTTATTTCCTTATAATAAAAAGAAAAAGAAAAAAAGAGAGATAAAAGGAAAGATAGATTCACCAATCTTAAATTTGAAATTTAAAAATTTGGACAAAAATTTCTTATCATAAGTGCTCCCCATTAAACAGGGGAAATAAAGGCAGAAGTTTGAAGAAGCTATTTAGAACACGTATAGTTAACTAGACTATATTAAAACTACACTAGCAAAATGAATCTAATAGGAACAGGTATTCCATAGATGAGTAAACACAAAATTTTAGAAAAGGCTCAGCCTCATCTTGAATCATAAAAGTGAAAATTAAAATCACAATACTCTTTTCCACCATCAGATAAACAAAAAACTTATAAAAATAGCAATATTAAGGTTTGGTGTAAATAGAAAACAAGAATGTTTATACATACCAAGAACTGGGAGGGTGGGAGGAAGGAGTGGATGGGTAAGATTTACTGTACTTACAACAATCCAGCCTGCAACAGTATGATATATGTGAGCAGAAGACTTGAGACTACGGGGTCAAAGAGAAGGACTCACAATACAGCAGACAGCATAAACTTCACATTCACATTGGTTTCCCTTGTTTCCCAAGTCCCACAGATGGAGAACCGCCCAGGTGGATTTTGCATATGCCGTGGGTTTGTATCACATTTGTGAAACTATGAGCTTAAGAAATTCAGAATTTTACAACTGACAGTAACCAATCCTGCTCAACAATTACCCAACAGGGAGAAATAAATTCTATTTATTATACTGGACATTAAATAGCCTTTCCTTCTGCTCTAGCGGGAGACACTATTTCTATAATCTAAGGCTGTTTGCTATGGAAATGACCTTGAGAAGATAGGCTAGAATAAAAAGACAGTGCCTCTGCACAGATGATGTACAAAAAAGCAAGAGATCCACAGAAAACTGTCCTCTAAAATACAGTCTTGATGAATATATGTAAATGGGATAAGTATTGAGAGCAATTTGGCAGTAAAAGCAATATTATAATGAGTACAGATAAACTCGTACATATGGAAACAGGAATATTCATGACATGAAAAACAGAAAATAATCAAACATCAATAAGAGAATAATCAAATTGAAGACTCTAAAATGTGATACAAAATAGAGCATGAAAAATTAACCTAAACTACATACGTTATCATGAATTTCACAAAAGTAATATGAGGTCTCAAAATGTAATTTTTCAATGAGTTTAGAAATATGATTTCTAAAAAGCACCTTTCCCTTTATAAGGCAATCTGGGTATAGATGATCCAACGGTGCCATATGGTGAGTAAGAGCTCAGTCTTGGTAGACCACCTCACTAATACGACTCCTTCTAATACTTCTACACTGATTACTCCCTAACTTATATCTTCAGTTAAAAAGAAAAGGACACGACATTTATTAGTTCTTACTGTGTGCCAGGCACCATGCTAACTGTATTATACTTATATGTAACATACCCAAATCACTAGCAGATAGGAACTAATACCAGCCCTACTTTAAAAATGAGGAAACAGGCAGAGAAAAGTTAATGTAATTCTTCTAAGGTTGTATAGCTAGAGAGCAGAAGCTGCAGAATTTGGTTACACCCAAAATTACTTACTGACATCACTTTGTCCTTAGCTTCCTAGAATTTATCACTGCCTTACTTTTTTATCAGAGCCTTTATATATTTAGTTATA